GACCCCAGGACAGCTTGGCCAGGTTGCTACCAGTGGCCGCAGGAAGAGTACGTGAATCGGCATTCTGGGCCCGGGGGACGCAAATGCAAAGGCCCTGAGGCAGGACCAGGGGAGCGTATTTGGCTGACAGCAAGGAGGCCAGTGTGGCCGAGTGAGCACACAGGAGCAAGACGAGACGGGGGAGGGAGGAGCTAGGGCCCCTCAGACCACAATGAAGTCTTCGGATTTATTCTAAAATGATGGAAAGCTGCTGGAGGACACCATCTGATTTGATGGGGGAGACACAGTTGTCCCCAATATGGCGTCCATGTGGCGGAGCCATGGGTCCAGCGCCCTTGTTTTCAGGTGGGGAAACTGAGGCCTGGAGACACACAGTGACTGCCCACTGCAGAGGCATCCCGGGGGTGGGGGGGAGCTTTCATTTCAGGCAGACAGGCCTTCAAGGCTCAGCTCCATTACATGGACAGTGGTCTTGCCTCCCCACACCTCCGTTTTCTCACCTGTAAAATGGGCACAAACGCCTTGAAAACACTCATCGCGGAATCTGTCTCAGAAATCTCACCCCCTGCCTCCTATCTAGTCCAGTGCACGGACGGACCCCCTGTGTTCATCCATTCCACTGTCGATGGACCCTGGGGTTGTTTCCACTTTTTGCTGGTTATGGGTCCTGCTGCTGGGAACATGGGCATATGGGCACCTGTTTGAGTCTCTGTTTTTAAATCTTTGGGCTGGGGTCTACAGCCAGGAGCGGAATGGCTGGGTCACGTGATAACTCTGTTTCGCTTTTTGGCGAGCTGTTTCATGCCCAGGCCTCCTCCTGCTTCATATTGTAGCATCTCAGGGAACCCCATTCCCCCAGCAAGGCTCCCCCAAATATTTGTGTTTCCTGACATTCACTGGGGCCTCCAGGAACCACGATCATGGGGCGTGGAGGAAGACCCTGCGAGCTTGATGTGTTTCAGGATGTAGACATTTCGAGGCACGGGTAAGGGCTGTGACATCAGGCTGACCGGGGTTCGAGCCCCGGCCCCACCACGGGCCCAGGCTAGCCTTTCCCTCTGGGAGCCCCGCTTTCTGCATCTGGAAAGCTGGGGTGGCTATCCTCCTGCTCCCACCCCTGTTTGGTGGAGGGTTGAAAGAGAGGACTTGCAGAAGGTGCCAGGGATGAAAGCACCTGCCCTAGACCTTGTGGCTCAGTTCGAGTTAGCATTGGGATAGTCATTCAATAAACTTGTTCACACTGGATCTAGGTGCCCGCCTGAGGCTGAGGCACTTCTGAGTCGCTGCTGCTTCCCCAGGACTCAGCTCAGGGCCAAGGCCTTGGGTGCACCTGCTGAATGAATGAATGGGAGAGAGAGAAGGGGGAGCGGGGGGAGGTGGGGAGAAAGAAAGAGACAGGAGAGGCAGGGACTCCGAGAGAGATGGGGTGGGGGTTCACCCAGACCTCAAACCCAAGGACCGATGGCCCCAGAGGGAGACTCGCGGCACTGGCCACACCCCAGTGTTGGGCGCTGCCCTCCCCCTGCGTTCTGTCATTCTGTCCTCAGGGCAGCATCTTCACTTTCCAGATAAGGAAACAGGCCTGCGAGGCAGACATGGGGGCTTTGGTGGGAGAGAAGGGTTTTGCCTAAGCAGCGGTTCTCACTGCAGGCGGTTCTGTGCACCGCCTCCCCCAGGGGACATTTGGTGACGTCCGGAGACATTTTGGTTGTCATGACTGAGGGGCTGGGGGTGCTACAGGCATCTGGTAGGTCGAGCCCAGGGGTGCTGCTCAACACCCTCCTATGCACAACACGACTCCCATCAGCAAAGGAGGATCCAGCCTCAAATGGTGCCAAAGGAGAGAAACCCTGTGTCAATTATTTGGGGAAAAAAATCGATTTAGGTCCCAGGCTCACACTACACAGCAGAATACATTCCCCATCCATTAGCTGATGTAAACCAGGTTGATCCTGTTACCTCCTCTCTCCCTCAGCTGGTGCATTTAAATGTGTGCAGTATCTTAGGACCTCAGTGAGTCATTAAATTGCAGATGCAAAGGGGCGTCTGGGTGACTCAGTCAGTTGAGTGGCCGGCCAGCTCTCGGTTTCGGCTCAGGGCATGATCTCAGGGTCCTGGGATTGAGCCCCGTGCCGGGCTGTGCACTCAGTGGGGAGTCTGCTTGAGGATTCTCTCTCTCTCTCCCCCTCTGCCCCTTCCCCTGCTTGCACCCTCTCTCAAATAAATAAATAATCTTTAAAAAAATTATAGATATGAAGTCTCTTAGGTGGTCATGGAACCCCTAACCCAGTGGTTCTCAATCTGGGGTTAATTCCACCCCTCCCCCCCAGGGACATTTGGCGATGTCTGGAGACATTTTTGGTTGTCACAAGTTGTGGGGATGGGTGCTGCTGGTGTCGAGCGGGCGGGGCCGGGATGCCGCTCAATGTCCCAGAATGCACAGGGAAGCCACCACTACAGAGCATGATCTGGCCCCGATGTCGACAGAGCGAAGGTGGAGAAACCCTGTCCTCAGCACCCAGCAGCTCAGCACTGGAGCCACCCGGGCCTGGTGCTTTCACGAGCCGTCTCTGGCCTGTTGCCTCGGGACTCCCCAGGGTGATGCTGGGTCTGGGTGCTAACTCAGCTTTGCGCGATGGGGCAGGGTGCTGAGTCAGGGACTCACCTTACCCTCTGAAAGCTCACATTTCCTCTACTTCACACCATATTCTGTCACCAGCCTGGGTGTCTGGGGCTCCCTGACATACAGGAAACTTCTGGCAGAGAAACAGCTCTTGGACCCTCCCCCCATCTCTGGAGTGACTCTTGGGAGGTCATTTTGGTGATGCCTAAAGTCCCCGCCAAACCTTCATCCCTTCCAAGCTCTTTACTCACCCCCCTCTTTACTCACCCCCCGCCCCAGGACAATCTGAAATATGGCCAAATACATATATATACTCAGCACTTGTTTGCATAAGCAGCTTTTGGCATGTCTAATGGAATATTATGCAGCCATTTCAAATGGTAATAAAAACATATCATGGAGGGAAAAATACGGAAAAACGGTTTTAACCTTGCTTGGAAAAATGGTCTTAACCTTGCTTGGAAAAAAAAAAGGGGGGGACACACTGATCATCACGGCCATGTGAAAGCAATTCAACCACTCACCAGAAATCCCTCCCTCTAACAGCCTCTGATTGGAATCGGGTTGCAGAATGCAGGGTAAGTTGTTTTTCTGTTTGATATTTACCATTTTGTCAAACGGATGCCAGGACTTTTTATGGAAAGGAAAAGTGTTGAGGTTGGGTGTGTTCTTACGGTGATCTGAGATGGGGCCCAGCGGTGAGGTTTTTATTCATACTTCTCTCTGGGTGACATCTGCCATCAAAGCTTGGTCCTGGGACGGGGCCACCTCCTTGCGTAGAAAAGCATTGAATGCTGCTCTTTTAGGAACCAGAGAGCCAGTTCCTCCACCCGCAGCACTGCTGATATCTGGGGCTCATCCTCTGAGTGCTGGGTGGAGGGGGGGTACCGGGGGGGCTGCCATGTACATCATAAGCTGCTTAACAGCACTGGAGCCCTCTACCCACCGGATGCCAGCAGCACCCCCGGTCCCCAGTTGTGGCAACCAAAAATGTCTCCAGTCCGGGTCACCCCTGGCTGAGAAGCACGCATCCAGAAGATACTTGATGAAGGTTGACATTTGGGTTTTCAGAAAGGGACAGAAAGAAAGATGAGGGCTCTTTCTGCAGTAATCAGTGCAGGCTGAAGCACACAGCCCTGCAGGAGCATGGCACTTTGTTCTAGCAGCTGGAGGCGCTCAGGAAACAGAAGCTCAACAGCTTCTGTCCCGTTACAACTGGCCTTTCATCGGACTCAACTTCCCCCCAGGGGAACCTGCGAGATGCTTTTGAGCAAGCCAGAAAAATGGCTTTACCTGCAAGTTTAAACTCAACCGGAAAGACTGGAGACCCTATAAAAGGTTATTTTAAATCTTTTGTGGGTCTTTGTTCTGCCCCCAGTGCCTCCGGAATCAGCTGTGAGCAAAGAAGAGAATTTCCACGGGGTCGGTGGGGCCCCGGCTCAGCTCTGCTCTGGAACAGTTTTTGTAAAAGCCGCAGAGTGGGTACGGGAGGCTCATACACTCACACAACCTTCATCACCAGCGGCCCCTGGCCCAGGCTATTTACTCGAGAAAGATGAATCAGATTGTCATCTCCCATTTCTGCTTTTTGTGGATTACCAAACGCTCTCAGCTGTTTCCAGGACTGTCTTCAGGGGGAGGAAGGATGGAGGGAGGGAGGAAATCCCAGCCTCTGTCGCAATGGGGCGAGAGTGTTTTAAAATAGGCGCTGCTTACAAGCTATTTTCACTTTCTGGAAACAACTTGTGCAATTGTTGGTAGTCATGGTTACCCACCCGGGGCCCTGAGAAGGGGGAAGATGAGGGGAAACCTGCCACGGAGAGGCACCTCCTTGCCTGACCGAGACATTCGGGGTGCAGTGCAGGGGTCTCCCCTCGATTACGAGGTGGGTTTCTGGAGTGGCCACCTCCAACCACCAAGGCAGGGGCTCTGATGTGATTCCCTCACACCAGGGCACCTGCAGGGATGGGTCTCATAACCTTACTCCAATGCAAGCAACAGATGGGTTGCTGCAGAAAGCCCCTGATCCTTCTAGTGGGGTTCAGGGACCCTCGTGAGGCAGACAGACCAGGCTAGCATCCTAATGCCACCACTCCATAGCTACCTTTCTGGGCCTGTTTCCTCATCTGGAAAAGAGAACCCATCATACATAGCCCTCAAACATGGAATTCATTTTTTCTAACAGGATGGGGAACTCATCCTTTACAAAAACTCCTGCTAAAAGGCAAGACTAGTAAAAGGCAAAGCAGGTCAGAAGCTCAGCATTTTGCCCTTTTAAAAAAAAAAAAGAAAGAAAGAAAGAAAGAAAAAAAAAGTGTGTGTGTGAGGGGTGGGGGGAGCCTGCACACTCCAGAACTTTGGGTGAAACCTCAGAAGCTTCCAGAAAGAGGTAAGGCTTTTTTTTTTTTCAGCCCAGAGGAGGCCACGTCAGTGGGACCAGCACTTTCCCCAGCTCAGGGGAAAAAGAGGCAATTTATGGCTCAGGGAACAACCTTAAAATAACTCTCCCTCAGTCTTAAAATGTAGTGTTTAAATTTATAGAAAAACCCACAGGTTCCTGGCAGCTGGGTGCTGCAGCTGGCAACCCAGGGTGCTGGCTGGGACAGAACACACTTCACCCCACCTCTGCCAGGCTGCCCTCCTCCACCAAAACTGCCCCTTCCCCCCACGCCCACCCTACACCCCAGCTTCCAAGCAGTCAGACCAGGGCTATTTTTCAAAAGATGCAAAACTTTTTTTTTTTAATTAAAAAAAAAACCAACAAAAGTCTTATAAAAATGAACCAGGGAGCCAAAATGCCCACCTGTCTTCCTATTTACAGTAATACAATATCTGTCACAGTCACTATGTACAATATTATAAAAAATGTCGAAGACAGTACAAATTAAGGCTGTATTTCTCACAAGGCATCAAGCCTCGATCCTCTAGTGTAGACCCGGTGGGGGGGAAGACGACACTTAATTATTGCACCATTTTGAAAACAAAACTCGTCAAGGAGGATCGTGGTCTTCTCCCACCGGGGCCTTCAGTCTCTGATGGGGGCCGGGGCGGCGGCGGCGTCGTGGGGGGGGGAGCCCCCCCAATGGCCACGCTGTGCCCAGCCCTGTCCTCTGGGCCCAATAAATACCAGTCACAGTTTGGGAGGGGGCCGCGCCCGGCGCGTGGGACCCGCCACGGCCGCGCGCGGGTGGGCGGGGGGCGTCCGGGCTACATGTGCCGCTTCATGTGCAGCGCCAGGTGGTCGGAGCGCGAGAAGGCACGGTCGCACAGGTGGCACTGGAAGGGCCGGTGGCCCGTGTGCTTGCGGTAGTGGCGGGTGAGTTCGTCGGAGCGCGCGAACTTCCAGCCGCAGCCGTCCCAGTTGCAGTGGTAGGGCTTCTCGCCTGCAGGGAGGGGGCGAGAGCGGGCCTCAGTCTGCTTCCCAGGGACTCGGCCTGTGGCCCCGGTACGCACACGCTCCCCGCGACCGTGGCTCCCCGGGGGCGCGCGCGCAACCTGCCCCTGACCAGGGCCCGGAAGCTGCGGGGGGACCTACGTTTTGGACCTCTAAGGATCCTAGGCACGCGCCCCTAGCTCTCGAACCTCCCGATTCTCGCCCCCAGGGGGCCCAAAGTGCGCACTCTCGGCTCTCCAGTGCTTCGAGCCACGCCCCCAGGGGAGTCCTAAGCTTGCATCCGAGACCCAGCGCACCCGTAGGTTTCCTCAGCGCGCGCACCCTCTCCCCAAAGCCCTGAGCCACGCTCCCAGGAGGGCGCTAAGCGTGCGTCCCCTCCCCAGCATTCTGATACAGAGTACCCCTAAGGATCCTAAGCGCGCACGCCCTTCCCAAGCTCTTGAGCCACGCCCCCAGTGGAGTCCGAAGCCTGCGACTCCTTCCCAATCTCCTGGGCCACGCCCTCGGGGGGGGTTTCCTAAACGCGCGCCACTCGTCCCGAGCCTCAGCCACCGCCCCCGGCCCGCGCTCGCCGCCCACCTGTGTGCGTGCGCAAGTGCGCCTTGAGGTGTGAGCTCTTGGTGTAGGTCTTGCCGCAGCCCGCGTAGCTGCAGGTGTGCGTGGCGGTGCGCTTGCGCGGCCAGGACCGACGGCCGCGCTTGGGCTTGGCTTCGAGCAGCTCCAGCGGCGACGCGGGAGGCGTGAGGAGACCTCGGGCGGCGGGAGGCGCCAGGCCCAGAGCTGCTGCTGCTGCGGCGGCGGCGGCCGCGTCGTCGAAGAGACCGAAGGCGGCGGGCGCGGGCGGCGGGTAGTGCAGGCCGGGCCCGGGCGCTCCGAAGCCGGGGCCACCGAAGGGCGGCGGGTAGGGGCCGCGCGGACCGGGCGCAGGCAGGCGCCCGGGGCCGTCGGGGCTGAGCGGCGGCGTGTCGGGTGGCGGCGGGGGGCGGCCCCCGGGGCCTCTCATGCACGCAGCTGCGGGACCTGGGGCGCCCTCGCGCTTGAGGCCCCGCGGCCCGCGGGCCAGGCCGGGCGCACAGCCGTAGCCTCCGCCGCCGTCCGCCTCGGGGGGCTCGGCCTTCACCAGGCGGCCGGGTGGCGCCAGCAGGAAGCGGCCGTGCAGCGCGGGCCCCGGCGGCACGTCCAGCTCGGGCCGCAGCAGCTCGGACACCAGGCCGCCCGCAGGGGCGCTGTAGGGCGGCGGTGCGCTGGGCTCGGGGTAGTAGAACGCAGGCGGCGGGGGCGGCGGCGGTTCGGGGGCGGCCTCAGCGCCAAGGCCGTCCAGCCCCATGGACAGGATGAAATCCAGCACGCTGTTGAGGTCGTCGTCGGTGCCGCCTGCCTCGGGCTCTGCGCGCGGCCAGCGCTGCGGGTGACAGAGCGATAGGGCGCGGGCGTGAGCGCGCGGCGGGTCTCGGGGACTGCGTTCTATTACCCTGAGCCCACAGTCCCCGCCGCCTTCGTTTTACAACACTGAGCCCGCAGTCCCCGCCGCCTTCGTTTTACAACACTGAGCCCGCTGTCCCCGCCGCCGGCGTTCTACTACCCCCGCAGCCCACATTTTTTACTACGCTGAGCCGGCCGCCCCCGCCGCCCGCGGTCCCGGCCGCCCCCAATGTCCCTGCCGCCCTCACCTCCTGCAGGCCACGCTCGCGGCACGGACTGGCGAAAGTGGAGAAGGACGGCAGGATGGGCTCGCTCAGCGCCATGGCTGGGACCCGGGGCCGACGCGGGTTCGGGACACCGGTGAGTGGCTGCCCGGAGCCGGGCTGGTCGGGGCGCGGGCGGGCGGGGACGCTCTGCGGCCCGCGGCCGGGCCCGCCCAAGCCTTATAGGCGCGGCGCGCGCGGGGGCCGGGCCAAAGCGGCGGCGGCGGAAACGCGTCCCGGATGGGGACGAGCTCCGGGCGCAGCCTAAATTTAGCCGCGGTATATAAGCCGGCGGGCGGCGGCGGCCGTGGCCACTGCGGCCGCCAGGGCTCTGTGCAGCCTGGCCGGCCCCTTGCGCACGGCCAGGCCGCGCCCCCCTCCCGGGCCCGCCCCCGCCCGTCTCCCCGGCGACGCGTCAACACGCGCTCCACAACAGCAGCGTGACGCCCAGGGATCCCCGGGGCGCCCCGTGGGCTCCCGCCTGCTCGAGGACCTGGAGCGGAGGTGGCATCCGGGACCCGGGGCTCTGAGTGGAACCCTGGGGCCCGGGGCCTCCGGGGATCCCTGATGTGTGGGGAGAATGGTCCCCAACGCCTCAGAGGGGCTCCTGGAACCCCTGATGATTGGCGAGATTGGCCCACATTTCAAAGGGGTCCCCAGAATCCTAGATGGATGGGTGGGGTTCCCGGGAACCCTGGTGGAGGGGGGATTGGGGTCCCCAGGATTCATAATGGGTGGGGAGACTGGGCCTCTCATTTCTGGGGGCCCACTAAGCCTGACCCACTGTTAATGCCCATCACTCTGTAAAAAACCTTGTATGATGATGTCAACCAATGTTAAGTCCCTGAGACGCGCTCTCTCTCAGGGAAGCCCTCCAGGGAAACTGAGGCCCACGGGGCTCTGGGAGAGGCTGGTAGGCCTGGTGCCTTCACTGACTTGCATAAACAAAGAGGCTGAAGACAAGGATGACAGTCTCTACTCCAACATAGAGCCGGCACTGGGCGGGAGTGGGGGGTGGCAGCAGGGGACAGGGAACAGGCCTGTCCGACTGGTGGGCATCTTGAATATACCACCTGGGTCACACACAACACAGCCCTGCCAGCAAGGGACTGTCACCACCATTGTTACTGTGTGCTGGCCCTGTGTGGGTACTGGGAGCGCAGCAGCCGACAGGCAGACAAATCCCCCTGCTCTTGGGGGCTTCCCCTAGGTGGTGTAAAATAAACAAGTATATTGGGAACATAAAGCAGGGGGTGCAAGATACAGTGGGGAGGGTAATAGGAAGCGAGTGAGTGTGAGGGGGGAGAGAGAGGATGGTGAAAATTTGAACCTCACCTCACCCAGTGCTGGATGAGTCAAGACCTGGAGAAAGGGGGAGCCACATGAGTCCTAGAGGGAGAGCATCTCATGGTGTAACCTGGAGCCAGTATCCAGTCTTGGTCTCTTGACTCCAGAATCTGTGTTCCGGGCCTGGAGGCATCCATAGTCTTCCTCTGTCCCGTGGCCAGGTGGTGAGGGGTTCAGGAAGCTGCTGATCTGGATACCTTCTCTGGGGCCAGGAGGGCTTTGCCACGGACAGCAGCGGGACCACCACTGCATGGGGGTGGCCTTGGCACCACTCAGGCACCAAGGGGCCCCTTTAGGGTCCACAGTCCTGGACCCTCCCAGCTGGAAGGAACCTCAAGGGTGCGTCACTTCACTGTGATTCATCCAACTGTGGATTCAGCAAACACACTTATGCAAGTCAGTGAAGGCACCAGGCCTAACAGCCTCTCCCAGAGCCCCGTGGGGCTCAGTTTCCCTGGAGGGCTTCCCTGAGAGAGAGCGCGTTTCAAGGACTTAACACTGGTTCACATCATCGTACAAGGTTTTTTACAGAGTGATGGGCATAACAGTGGGTCAGGCTTAGTGGGCCCGATAAGCCCTGTTGGTCAGGCGATGGGGATCCAGAGGTGCTGGAGGGGGCAGGGATCTCCTCTGCAGCATCCCTGGGCTTCAGGAGACTTCAGCTTGAATTCGGACATGCCTCCTGCAGCTGCCACTGAGGTGGCTGAGCGTCAGCCTCAGCCACTGCCCACTGGCTGTGTGACCTTGGGCAAGTGGCTTTGCCTCTCTGAGCTTGTTTCTTCTGTAAAACACAGATAATAATGGTACCTTGCCCCACAGGGATACTGTAAGAGTCATGCAGGCTCTTTCTCCCTCTCTCTCTCTCTCTGTGTGTGTGTGTGTGTGTGTGTGTGTGTGTGTGTGTGTGTGAAGTGCTGATGGCATCCCGTGAGCCCTCTACAGGTTCTGGTTAGATGAGCCATCTGTGTGCTTTTCCCACTGCCTTTATTTACCTGGGCCTCCGTTTCCCCATATGATAATGAGGGAAAGATGAAGGCAACCAAGTTTGGTCCCCGAGGCATATGACTCTCTAGTCCTCCCCTCCACCTCTGTGGTCCTCCCCTCTGCCTCTGAGGTCCTCCCCTCCGCCCCCACAGCTCCCTCCAGCTCATCCTTCTGTTTTCTTGGATTCCTTGCAGGTCCCGGAAGGGACCAAGCACATGCTCCGCACGAGGCCTTTGTACTTGCTGTGCTCTCTACCAAGCGTGTCTTCCTCTCACTTCCCACTTGCTTGGCTCTGGCTCATCTTCCCTTCCCACTCCCTTAACTAGTGAACTTAGTTTTTTAGGGTGCTGTTAGGTTTACAAAAAACATGAATGGAAAGTATACAGAGTCCCCGTGTACCCACACACGTACAATTTCCCCTGGCATTATGTGATACATTTGTTATACTTGATGAGCCAATATTGATGCATTGTTACTAACTAAAGTCCTCGGTTTACACCAGGGTCTCCACTCTTGATGTTGTACTTTGTATGGGTTTTGACAAATGCACGCCCTTACACTGTCCTACAGAATAGTTTCGCTGCCCTAAAGAGTCCCCTGGGCCCTACTTCTCCATCCCTCCCTCCTCCCTAACCCCTGGTTAGGTACCATAGTTTTGCCTTTTCCAGAATCTCTCTAGTTGTGGCTCTTACAGTAGGTACTTTCTTTCAGACTGGCTTCTTTCACTTAACAATGTGCATTTTAAGATTCTTCCATGTTGGGGCTCCTGGGCGGCTCAGTCAGTGAAGCGTCTGCCTTCGGCTCAGGTCATGATCTCAGGGTCCTGGGATTGAGCCCCGCATCGGGCTCCCCGCTGAGCGGGGAGTCTGCTTCTCCCTCTGCCTCTGTCCCTCCCCGTGCTCATGCTCACTCGCTCTCTCAAATCAATAAATAAAATCTTTAAAAAAAAAAAAAAAGATTCTTCCATGTCTTTTTGTGGCTTGAGAGCTCATTTCTTTTTTATTGCTGAATGATATTCTATGGTATGGATGGAGGGACCACCGTTTATCCATTCACCTATTGAAGGATATCCTGGTTGCTTCCAGTTTTGGGCAATATAGTTGTTAGATTGGATATACATCGAATATGGCTGCTCTAAACATTCACGTGCAGGTTTTTTCAAGGACGTGTTTTCAAATTAATTGGGTATACCTAGGGACACAATTGGTGGATCACAGGCTAGGCCTGTTTCGCTTTGTAAAAGCCCACCAAACTGTCCTCCAAAGTAGTAGTACCACTTGTCTTCCCACCCGTGGTGAATGAACGAGAGTTCTCGCTGCTGCACATCCTTGCCAGTATTTAGCATTGTCAGTTTTTTGTACTTTAGCCATTCTAATAGGTGTGTGTTGGTATCTCATTGATGTTTTTAATTTGCAGTCCCCCAATGACATCTGACGTGGAGCATCTTTTCATTCGCTTATTTGCCATCTGTATATCTTCCTCACTGAGGGGTCTGTTCAGACCTTTGGCCCAGATTTTAACTGGGTTGTTTGTCTTCTTATGGAGTTTTAAGCATTGTTTGTATATGTTGGACACCAGTCCTTTGTCAGACAGGTGATTTGCAAAGATTTTCTCCTAGTCTGTGGCTTGTCTTTTGAATTTCTAACAGTGCCTTTTGCAGAGCAGAAGCTTTTCATTTTAAGGAAGGCCAGCGTATCATATTTTCCTTTTAGGATTGTCCTTTGGTTCGTGTATCTAAAAAATCGCCAAGTCTGAGGTCGTCCTGATTTTCTCCTATGTTTATCATCTAGAAGGTTTATAGCTTTTGCATTTTACACTTCAGTGAATGATTCATCTTGAGTTAAAAACAAATTTTTGGGGGGGGGGCAGCCTGTGGCTACCAGTGGTTCCAGGACCCTTTGTTGAAAAGGCCGGATAGCTCATTGGTGCATTTCAGCCTGAGCGTGCATTCCAGGGTCTGCTGACCCCACCCCCAACAGCCCTCCCCAGGCTGTGTAGTTCCCTTCTCTGACTCCCTTTTTTTTTTGGTTTGTTCCGCAGCACTTTTCACTGTTGGTCATTGTTTTATCCACAGGTTCCTTTTTTTTTTTTCCCTGTCACACCCACAAGTAGTGCGTGACCTGCAGGGAAGGCGGGAGCCAGGAGCCCGGCCCAGCACAGAGTAGGCACTCCATGAACATTCAGCAGGTGGAGGGACAAGCAAACGAGTGGATATATCTCCTGCAGCATCTCAGAGGAACTTCTGTGGGTGGCTCGCTGCTCCTGTAGGACTGTCCATGGTTTCTCCTCCTCCGCCCAGCTTTCTGGGGCCTTCCTTGTCACCACAGCTAATGGGTCGAACATGTCCGAAACATATGCCCAAGTCCTAACCCTGGGTGCCTGTGAATGTGACCTGATTTGGAAAGAGGGTCTTTGCAGGTGTAATTAAGGGTCTTGAGGTAAGATCATCCTGGGTTAGGATGGGCCCTAAGTCCAATGATCAGGGTCCTTAGAAGAGAAAGGACACAGAGTCGCAGGCACAGAGAAGATGGCCAGGGAAAATCGGGGGCAGAACTCAGAGCAATGTAGCCCCGAGCTGAGGAACCCCCAGAAGCCTCCCTGGGATGGATTCTGCCTCGGAGCTTCATCAGAAGGAATCCACCCTGTCAACACCTTAATTCCAGATTTCTGGCCCCCAGAACTGTGAGAGAATACATGTCTGTTGTGTTAAACCACCCAGTTTGTGCCATTTTTTTTTTTTTTTTGCGGCGGCCCCAGGAAGTTCATACATCATGGTAACCAGCTGTTCTCCCTCCTGGCTGCCTCTCTAGACAGGGA